CTACTCACCAGAACAAATTCAATAAGCTGTAGTTGTTCTGGTGACTATAGTGTCCCTTTAACTATATTCATTGTCAGCCAGTCCACACAAGTTTTGTTCCCATACATCGCTCTTAAGTTTCCATACTTAAGTAAGAGTATGTGAAAAGTAGTTAGGGTTGCCACCTTTCTTGGAAAAATAATTTGCATAATTAAATATGTATGGGTGACATCACATGATGTAAATCACAAGGAGTGACATAAGAGAAAATGCTGTAAAATCACCAAAAAACTACTTAGTTTGATTCTGCTGTATAGATGGATTCCTCCCAGTGCCCCCATGTCTCCCAGTGCCCTCATGACTCAGTGCCCCCATGTGTCGATTACTCCTGGTCTTCCAGTGATCCTATGTATCACAGTGTCTCAATGCCCCATGTCTCCCCATGTATCCCAGGGTCCCCATGTCACTAGGACACTAGGAAGACGGGGAAACCTGGGGAATAGGGGAGACCTAGGGACGCGGAGACACCAGTGACACTGGGAGACTAGGGGACTCTGGCTGGGACACATGGGGACAATGGGAAGATAGGGGACACTTGAAGACATGGGGACACAGACACCAAGGACACAGACACTAGAGACACTGGTTGAGGGACATGGGGACATTGAGACATGGGGGCACTGGGAGACATGGGGACACGGAGACACCAGGGCCACACACACTAGGGACACTAGCTTGGAGACATGGGGACATTGTGACACTTGAGGCACTGAGAGACATGGAGACACTAGGAGACATGGGGACAGTGAGACACTGGCAGACTGGGGGCACTGGGAGACTAGGGGTCACTTGGAGACTAGGGGGCACTGAGACACCAGGGACACTGGCTGGGAGACATGGGGACACTGTGTCCCCATATATCTGTCATAATGTCTCCCAATGTCCCTTAGTGTCTCAGTGTCTGCCATAATGTCTCCCAATGTCCCTTAGTGTCTCAGTGTATGTCTCCTTGCAGCCTTTCCCCCATCCCTTACTTCCCTGAGCTGTAGGTTGTCTCTGCAGGGTGGGAGTTGCTGTCTGGACTCTCTGTAGCTGCACCCCTGCAGATCAGTGAGTATGGATAGGCAGGGAGGGATATGCTGAAACTTCCTAGCCCTGCCTGTCTCCACATACAGCGACCCCTACTGGCCAGTGCTGGTATTGCATAGTAATCTCTGTTTATACTGAAAAAAATACCAGCATTTGTATTGCCAGTATCACTGCAATATTGGCACCAGCCAGGCAGCCTCAAATACTGGCTGTGCCAATAAAATAAAAGCCAGGTGGAATCCCTAAGAGTACTGTGTGAAAAAAAAAAAAAATGTTAAAAAAAAATATATTATTTTTTTTTTTTAATCAATGGGCCTATTCCATGGGCCTGGGCCTGGAGCTGCAGCTCCATCAGCCCCTATGTTAATCCGGCCCTGATACTGACACACACAAACATATAGCTTTGGGGCAAAATATGGAAGACTAAAACAGTAAACAGAACCACATTTTTATGTATTTGAAATAAAAAACAAACAAATCTTAATTTCTTGGGTACTTGCTATTCCTGCTCAGTTAATGGAAACCTTGTATAGGACCAACATTGTATCACCACTGCTCAAGCTACCTTATTATCCCTCCATTAGGATCAAAATTCAACAACACAACATGTCAACAAGCACCAGTGTAAACCATCTCTATGTGATAGAAGTTATCTTGATTCCAAGGCTCAAGCTTATAGGTGTCATATAATAATATCCTATATTAAAACTGGCTAACTTGGACTCAGGAAATGCTTGATGCTTAAAATGACACTTAAGACCATATATGTCTAGTTCCGGGAGCATGTAGCCCCCACCTGAGATGTCTCTTCTCAAATCATTCTGTTCTTTCTCTTTCTCTGAACTTATTTGTTATATGTACATGACGTTCATCCCTATGTCCCTTATCTGTACTCCTTCTATCCTTTTACTCCCTTCCTACTACTGTCCTATGAGTATTTGCACGTAAGCACTTACTTTTTAATGTATAAAAACCCAGCTGATGAAGAAACGACAGAGACTTATTTTGAATACCAACAGGTGTCTGGTGTCTAATTCGCGCTCCTACAAGTGCACTTGTAATAATAATTTGGGCTTCCTCTGAATATAACAAAGATCAATATTTGGATCTATATCACCTCCAACATCTGTTACATCTGGAATTTTGGAGGGACTCAAGTACAATCTGGTGTAAATAAATGTAATTGACCCAATTTGCTATAGCTTTTGAATACAAATTAAAAAAAAACCTTATTTTCTCAATTTTTAATTTTTTTAATTCATAATAAATTATGTTCCATATATGAACCGTTAATGATAAATTAAAGCCCTGTTTCTCCTGAACAAAATGATATATAATAAGTGTGGGTGCACTTAATGTTACAGCGGTGAATTACGGGTGAACAGACATATAGCGCAAATTCCAGTTTTTGTTCACGTTTTGATCAGAACGTGTACTATTGACTCCGTCCTGAAGGGGTTAAGACAATATGACAAACATTTGCCTGATTACATCACCTTTAACTGCATTACCAGACCTAATCAAATGTCCATCCGTATCTCGGAACTATGCGTATGTAACAACAAATGCCTTTTATATATTTTTCTTATAATATCTAACTACAGTACTGACCATTCTGTCTTTTTTTTATATATTAATACCACCATGCAATGTGACTTTTAGCTCATGCAGCTGGAACACTGTGAAAAAAATGGCCCACTCATAGGTCACAATTATAATTAACTTCTTACAAATGTCACCTCATGTCCAGAAAAAGACATATCAGCAGGAGGCTACCACCAGAAGATCTACAGGCTAATAAATATTAGATAATCTGCTTAACTCTCTCAAAGTAAATGCTGGGTAATTTTTCTGGGTTATGGCCCGAACAAGTTGCTTTCGGAGATTCACTCTATAGATTAAGCAAATAAAAGACTTGTTATTCATCCGGCTGTCTTGTTAAACCAGATCCACAGGTTTCATTCAGTGTTGTGGAAATGTACTAGCTATCATGTGATATTACCATTAGGAATTTGAAAGATTGCAACAACAAATACTATACATTATTTTATGGACTGTGATTGCAGTGAGCAAAATATGTCATGCAAGATATTTAAATACAAAATAAACAGACAAGCATTGAAGGTAGTTCATTAGCATCATATATCATTATAGGTGCAGGGTGTTTATAATGTGTTTGTTTATTGTTAGTTGTTTTGTGTGCTCTCCTGTCCTACTGAAGCTTTTTACCAACTAAGTGGATTTGGCTATGGAGCCTTTATAGTGCCCTCTGTTGGTAGCAACAGCTATATGCACTACCTGAAAAGCACAGCTTGTTAATTTGCATATTCAGGTATATTTGCATATTGTTGATTCTGCAGGCAGGAGATATATTTTGTGTTGGTTATTGACTTCCCCACCCCTTTGTAGATATGTTATTATAATTCCATGTATGTCTTCTGATATGTTTTGATTATTTGTATTTTTATTGAATTGTTACCATAAGCTTCATAAAAGGAGCATTTGGGTCCACCCAACAAAAAATAAAGTTTTGTATGTTAGTTCCTTTTGAACTTGTGTCCTGTGCAGGGCCAGCACTAACATAAGGTGGCACAAGGATGCGATCCTTGGGTGACCGGCAGGAGGAGAGCACTCTGCATAGTGCTCCCCTCCTGCCAGTCATTGCATGTAGAGTGGCTGAGCGGGCGGAACCGCGGTCTAACCGGTCTGACAGGAGCTGCAACAAACTGCTTCCTGTCAGACCAGGACAAGAAACAGGATAATCTTCCAGGTAACGCCCACTCAACCACGCTACATGGAGAGAGAAGAAGGGGGCACAATGAAAGGTAGGAGAGGAGTGGGGGACAATAAAAGTTACAGGGGTGGACAAGAAGAGTTATGGAAGGGGGGGAATAAGAGTTATGGGAGAGGGGGAATAAGAGTTACAGGAGGGGGGTCAATCAGAGTTACAGGAGGGGAGGGACAATAAGAGTTACAGTAGCGGGAACAATCAGAGTTAAAGGAGGGAGGGGAGGGACATTAAGAGTTACAGTTGAGGGGACAATAAGCGTTACAAGAGGGGGGACAATTAGAGTTACAGTAGGGGAGGGGGGACAAGAAGAGTTACAGGAGGGTAGGGGGGCAATAAGAGTTACAGCAGGGGGGCAATAAGAGTTTCAGGAGAGGAGGGAGGGACAATAAGAGTTACAGGATGGAGGGGAAACAATAAAAGGTACAGGAGGGGAGGGGGATAATAAAAGGTCCAGGAGAGGCAATAAAAGGTGGGGGACATTGAAAGGCACAGGAGGGGAGGTGGGACAGTGAAAGGTATAGTGAAAGGGGACATTGAAAGGTACAGGAATGCTGGGGGGCACAAAGAGAAACTCAGAGAGGCTGAGTGGGGATAAAGACACACGGGGGGCAAAGAGACACACAGAGGGGGCGACAAATAGACAGACAGAGGGCTGTGGGGAGAAAGAGACGTACAAAGGGGCTGAGAGGGAGAAAGATGCACAAAGGTGTTGCGGAGAAAGAGCCACACAAAGGAGCTGGGGAGAAGAAAGAGACAAAGGGGCTTGAGTAAGTGAAAAATACACAAGTGGGTTGTTAGAGACACACGAGGAGATAAAACACAGCAAAGTTAGTTTAAGACACACAAAGAAGAAAAAGGGAGTAAGATATTCAAATGATAGGATATAAAACACTGAAGGGGGTAAATAATTCAAAAGGGTGGGTTACATGACACACAGGTGAAGATGCATTTTTTTTGGGGGGGGAGGGGCAGCAAACTGCATCATCGCCTGTGTAGTCAAAAATTCTTGCACCAGCCTTGGTCCTGTGTGGATTTTTAGGGATCCCAGTGACAGTGTTTTCACACCTGTTTCCTAGCTGAAGGATCCCTCTGAGGGGGGAGAGCTGCATGGATGGAGGGAAACCCCTCCAAGCATTCACACCGCACAAATGCCACAACATTCTGCAGTCCACCTACCTCGGCCGAGAGCCCACCAAGGTGTAGCCTCCAGGTATCCACCACACAAGCAGAGGATTGCCCGCCCTAAAAGGCGCCGACCATCTCAACCCTCAGTCCACCCTGCTAAGGGGAAGGACTTGATCCCAACTCCATGGACTAGCAGTGCTGGCCCTCACAAAGGCCTGGGGCTGGAGAACAGTCCTGACCTGTCACGAACCGGTGGAACTCCCTGCTTGACGGCGCTTATACCCTACACTACTGCTGACTTCCTGAATTGGGTATCGGATGATGGGGACTTTTACATGCAACTAGTACCACTGTTGACACCCTATCTGTTCTATTGTTATTCTTACAGTGGTGCAGCGACATTCAGAAGTGCTTGTTTCCAGTGGTTTAAAACTTGCCACATAAGCTAGCATGTCTATTCAGTTAAATCCGTTTTAACATTACTCTGAGCCTTTGTCTTACCCTTTCCTGAAATTAATTCATTAAGTCATATATTCTTGCTAATGGATTCCTCCTGTTTTTTCTTTAAAGAATGATGAAACATGCTCCTATTATTTTATGTTACCATTTCTCACAAAAAAAGAAGTGCAGTATATGTTGACTTCTATTTTTCGCATGTACAATATCTGTCATGTCATATTGTTTTATTTACTTATACCTGCACTTCAAAAATAAAGATTGTAAAAAAATAAATAAAAAAAATTCCCTGCATGTAGTTGAGTAAACCTTCCTTGTCAAATCTACTCTACTCAAAGGACAGGCAATACATTTTTTAAATTTTTTTATTTGGTAAAAAAATTCTATTGTTTGTGTGTTTAGAACTTTACTGGAAATCACAGAAATCTTAATAAATTAATACACAAATCTTAATACATTCTTGTTAAAATGAATATAATTCATATTGTGAATACCTTTCTTTGGCTCATATCCAGGAATCGTATTACCAGTATCATCATGGATAAACAATATATTTGTATAGTCATTTAGCTCATCATGAATAAGGGATGTTAAAAAAATAAAACACCTTTTTTGTTTTTAGAATACGTATCTTTTTAACCCCTTAAGGACCAAACTTCTGGAATAAATGGGAATCATGACATGTCACACATGTCATGTGTCCTTAAGGGGTTAAACCCCCTAATTTTAAATCCAACTGGGTTTGTTAACTTCTGAAATTCTGATGACATCGTAGGGACTCTCCTATAAGAGAACATGTAATTATTTCACCTCTTAAAAGAATCAATACCTTTGATTGTTGCTTGCATAGCAGAAAGTTTAGTAAGGCACTATATGCAACTGTCATTAGTCTAATACTATCCTTACCTTTTGTGTCACTTTACCCCACTCCTTCCAGCATGTAAGCTCATTGAGCAGGGCCCTCAACCCCTCTATTCCTGTGTGTCCAACTTGCCTGGTTACAACTACATGTTTGTTCGTCCACCCACTGTAAAGCGCTGTGGAATTTGTTGACGCTATATAAATAATAACATAATAATAATAATAATTATATATATGTGTATATATGTATATATATGTAATATATATAAGTTCAATATTTCCATTTGCCACTAGCCATTGGCGAGTACAAATTTAACACTGGAGATCAGAACTTTACCCCTGGAGGGTGTACTATGGCTTGCAGTAGCGAGTAACTTTTAAGTCTTGGCTGGTACCATTTGCATAAATATATTCTCCAAACAATGCTTGACTGATCCTTAAAGGGACACTGTACTTACCCAGACCACTTCAGCTCATTGAAGTGGTCTGGGTAAGTGTCCTTATTGCCCTTAGTGCTGCAATATTAAACATTGTAGTTCACCAGACAGCCACTAGAGGGCTTCCTGGTTTGAAATGGACCTCATGAGGACCTGCAGCATCAGATTTTTCTCCATAGGAAAGCATTGATTCTATGCTTTCCAATGGAGAGGTCTAATGCTCGTGAGCATTAGAGCCCGCTTGTCGTGGGACGTCAGAGGGGATGGAGCTGCATCCCGGTGCCGAGGGACATTGGCTCTGGGATCCAGTAATTAAATAAAGGGGGTTTAACCCTATATTTACTGGGGAGGAAGCTTTGTATTCCTGGCACTATAATATCCCTTTATTATTATTATTTTTACCAATAAAACATTTTATAAAACATTTTAAAATGCATCTTATTTACCTTTTGCTGAAATGTATGTGGATTACGTCTGCCACTGACATTATGTCAATGGCTAGTTTATCCAACCAAATTATTTGCCCTGGAGCCTTTGTCCTTATTTCTACTGTTTAACAGCTAAACTGAAGTGCTTGCTTTCTAAGGAATTATTTGGCAAGTTGTGTGCTATTACATTGACAGTGACTTTCAAGCATTGTTTAGCAATAATTGAAGTATTGGTTTAACTGTATATTGTAAGAGACACTATAAAACTTTGCCACACTTCATTAACAATTGAAAGTAATTTGAGAAGTCCTTCAAAACCATTAGGAAGTAAATACATCCTTAATTAAATATGTTGTACACGAATAAGGTTTTTAAACAGCAAAACAACAAGTGAAATTAAATTACGTCAATTATGAAAAGAAGGTAGACAAGTCAACCATATACTTTACTGACTTTATTTGGATTCAGTCTAAGCACCATAACAACTTTGCTTGATTGCAAATTGATCGTGCAGAGACTAAAACATCTACATTCACAAACTATGAGGCTTTACAAAATTCATCCCTATATTGACACATAAATTCTGGAACTACACTTGGATACACCACGAGATTAACATAATTGCTATACATAAACATTTTTCCCTACGTTAACACCCGTTCAAATGCACAAACTGTTTTGTTACATTTACCTGGGTCCTGCTGGGCACTCACACTGCTTCCAGTGTTTAAGCTGCAGAACGTGAATGTCCATTTTGTGTAAGATAGGTGCTCACTCACTGACGGAGAGTTTTAGCTGATGTTCTCAGTCAATGAATGAGCTCCCATCTTGCCCAAAATAGAAATATGGCTTCCATGGCTTGAGAAGCTCCTAGTGGGTTCCAGGTAAGCTTTACACTATGACAAAATAGACTGCCCGGTTACAGTGGGATGGTGACAAAGCACTGGAGAGGTGCAATTACGTGGTCGTGCCTGATCGTCACTTTCAGACTGATAAAGGCCTCATAAGGAGATTCACCTTAGCTGAATGACCAATGTGATCCTGATTTCACTAGGAAAGTGTTTAGATTACATTTTATTACTTGCGCTGAGGAGAAAAGACAATGGCTGCCCTAACTTGATGTATTCTGTTATACATTTTAGTCTTTTGCAGTTGTTTATCTCAGAAATTATTATGTCAGAAAATGCTACATGTATTACAAAGTAAGCAACCATCACTTTTTTGGTGTACATAGCCTATTGTATATTTGAGTGATGGTAAACAGGAAGTGATAATGCCCTTTTAATGTACCCATCAACTTGTTATTAAATAAGCCTTTACTTTATTCACTGTTCGTTTACTCAATATGTACTAGCTAACACTCACCACTCATTAAACTATTTACATGGTGAAATAGCCTTGGCCCTGGTTTTACTTGGCTTGTAATTGGAAATGAGTCAATGGATCATTGAAAATATATTTACACTCTTACGCCAAAGTCATTATAACTGCTGAAGAGTGAAATCGTTTCTAAATTAAACTTGTTGGCTTAGACAACCATTGGTGATCAGTTTAGATAAGAAAAAATGCAAAACATTTAAAAAATATTTTTAAAACAATTGTCTGTCAAGATGGTATAGGATTAATTATGAATGATACATAGTTATTTTTATGGTGTAATGGCCAGGTACATTTTCATCAGTGCTAGCACAATAGCTCTCTATTCTGATTTGCATACTTCGAATTATAATTACTATTATTTAAAGTAAATAGTGTTGGCATGCGTTAGTTGTGCTGTACTTTGTGCAATTCAAACTCTATGTCTCACTATATTGTATGTTAACCCATGAATGATAGCTCTGTATGACACAAACCCAGTATGCTGAGTTTAAAGGAAAATCTGGGCCATTTTATGTTATCAATTTAACGTCTTACGAGACAAAAACAAGTTAAGTATGCACAAGCAGTAATGTAACAAAAGCAAAACTGACCTTTTTTTTATTTTGTAATTCTTTGTTTTATTGAGGCATTGAAAAGGTAATATGACAGGTAATACGGAGTCAAAATAAACATTATACAGGCTTGGTAAACAGAGAGGAAATAACTCCTAGCAAAATCTGCCTTCTTTTTATAGTTTAAGAAAATAGACAGGAACACAATTCAGTTAGATTGGTCAAAGGATAGGGAGATGTGTAATACATAAGAACAGGGGTCAAGTCCTGTGGAAAAAAGTGTGGGAACTCACCCAAGATCCCCCCCCCCAAAAAAAAAACCCCCAAAACACTTGTATGCATATATAAGCACATGTGCACACACACACACTCAGACACACACATACACACACATACACTCAGACACTCACAGATGCACACACATTCTCAGATACTCACATAGTGGTGTATTTTAATTTTGTGCTGTCCGAGGCATGACTATACCATACCCCTAACCTACATTTACCACCCCTTCCTGTCAATGGCCACCGCTTTCTTATTGAGAACCCACCCCTTAATCTTTAGACTCCACCTTTTCTTGCTCCTTTTAAAGAAATACTATAGTGCCAAGAAAACAAAGCTGTTTTCCTGGCACTATAATTCTCTATAGTGCCCCCCTCCCTTGTGTCCTCCCCTCCCCCACTTGACACTGAAGGGGTTACAATCCTAAGGGTAGTTAGCAGATGCTGGATGTCCTCATGCACAGGGTGAGGACGTCCAACATCAGTAAGGCGACTTTTGGTCACCTAACCACCCGAAAGTCACTCTCGTGGAGTCTGGTAGAGGTGGAGTTACCCCTCAAGGTAATTATTGCAGTTTCTGAGAAACTGCAATAATTACACTTGCAGGTTTAAGGGGACTGGGACACTGCACCCAGACCACTTCAATGAGCTGAAGTTGTCTGGGTGCCTATAGTGTCCCTTTAAGCAAACTCTCTGACAGACACACATGCATTCACTGACACACACTGGCAGATACACACTGACAGTAACACACACACTCAATGACAAACACACAGACGTCACGGATTTGACACACACACATTCACTGACACACACTCATTCATTGACAGAGAGACACACACAAACACACTGACAGACACACACTAATAGTCATACACACACTAA